TTCAGATGCTATTAATTGACTGGAATAACAAAGCATATAGAAGTAAGTGAATATGGCCTTAATATATAGATCATAATTCATAAATGATTCCAGAATTCATTATTTTTAAGTATTAATATAATGGATCTATCAAGACATGATTCCATTTCATATGCCATATCCTTCAAATGTTGTTCTTTATTTTGTAATTGTTGTAATGAAGTAAAAAAAAAATTCCACCATGTAAAGGTTGGAAGAGTAAATCTAAATGTTTTTTCACCAAATCGAGTATGAATATTTTGAATAGCTAAAGTGTTTTTTTGAAAAAATCCAATAATTTTAATAGCAGAGCTTATAGTTGACTTTATATATGTATGCCTTAACATGTCACTAACTAAAAGGTTTGACTCATGTACAATACATGGCATAGCTATAATTTTAGGATATTGTTATACAAGTATAGCTTTCATACAAACATAGTTTGCAGCATCATCTGTGATAACTGCATTAATTTTTTTTAGCTCCAATTTGTACTAAAACTTCTTCTAGATCTCTAAATATAACAGCCGATTTTTGATTTTCTCCTAATGTGTCTCTAATTTTAACAAGTTCTGATTTTCGATCTTTTCCTATAGCAATAAAATTTACAAGATGATCTTGTCAAAGATTCGTCCACCCATCTGTTGCAATAGTGATTCAATTAGACTTATCAATAAATTATTGAACCGAAACTTGAATATCTTTATAAACATTATCGAGAATATTATTAGAAAGTTGTTTTCTGGCAGGAACATGATACTAGTTATTAATAAAATAAATAAATTCTCTAAATTTTTGTGTATCTACAAGCGAAAGAGGTGCACCACCTTCCACAATATCTTCTAATAATAATCAATTAGATCTACTTGCATCTATTGGTAATTGTGTAAATATCTGACTTGCAGTTTTTAAAAAATCATTGTTTTCACTTGTATTATTATCTGATAAAACTGAAATAGAATCATAATTTGAGACTGATATAAAAGATGCAATCGATCCATCTGATGAATGAGAATTATCTTGCTGCTGATTACATTCAGTAATTAAATTTGGAACTAACTTTTGTTGACAGCTATAAGTATTCATAAGATAAGCTCGAATTTCTGAATGAATCTTCTCACATTTTTTGATATGCAAAATCATCACAGCCGCAGTACCAGATATAGGTTTGTTTAAGTTACAGAATATACAACGAGCTTTGGGTTTTTTATAATTAGTCTTAATTGGATCAAAAGCTTGCCAAAGAGGGCCTGGTGGATGACCAACAGATCTACTTGGAAGCTTGCGCAACAAATGTTATATTTCTGGATTTGGTGAAGGCCAATTTGATATTGCAAAAGTATAAAAAAAATTATAGAATTTATTTTGATGACTTTAACCTTTATTTATTATATATATCGTTATTGATTACATACATATATACGTAATAATTAATAATTGCTATGTAATTTCAATAATACGTAATAATTAGTAAAAATAAGTAAGGGTAAAAAATAAGTAATGAATACGTATTTTATTACCTTGTCCATCTCTAGCTGGGATGGAAACCCCCTAGCATAACTACCACGATCAGTTATGTAATCACTGTTTAAATCTGATCGAAGATTTTATTTAACCAGATCTTGTAACCCAACAGGTTAGCAATATATAAAATTTATTATATATGAACTTTAATATAAAATTTTTATTGCATCAAGAAAAGTGTTTATTTAAAATTTATTTGGTAAACAATTATTACCTAACTTTACATACTATATCATAAATTTTTATTGCATTAAGAAAAAGCATTTATATTGTATCAAGAAAAAGTATTTATTTAAAATTTATTTGGTAAATTATTATTACCTAACTTATGAACTATATCATGAAATGTTTATAAAATTTAGGTTTACCAATAAAAAGTATTTTTATTTTATGTGTTTCATATCTTTAGAAGGTTTTTCGCTTGGTTCAAATTCTTTATATCATCTATCATCTTTTTAATTGGCATAAAATTTGATTCAATATTTTTTAACTATTTTTTTTGTTGTGGAAGGTTATAAGACTTTTCAAGAAGGTCAAGCATCTATATGTATTAAAATAGTATCAGTATTAAATTTAGATATTTTATATTTATGCTGCATAATTTAATTTGATAAAAACAATAAATAGGTTGTACTTCGTAAAGAGTTTTTTGTATTGATCTATAATTTCCAATTCGCTTTCTTCTTCACTTGATTCATCATTTTCTACAATATTATTATTGTTATTATTAAGAATAGTTGAAGTAATCATTATAGGAAGTGGTGCATTATTAGGTAATATGCGAATTTTCTTCTATATAGTTGTTTCGTCTTCTTTAATTAATGGACATTATGAATTTTGTTGAACTTAAATTGAAAGTTATTAATAATTATATATGTTTCTAAACTGTAATATATACAATAATATAAAAATAATCTATCAAACATTTTTAAAGAATGAGGCTGTCATATTTCCTAAAGGACTAACAAGATGTTTACATAAATAAAACCTATTTTTAAAAAAATAAGGGCAAGAACATACCCAATGCTCATTGTTTGTTAGATATTTGTTTGTAGTTTTAATTGAACGCATAGCAAGTTTTTGCCATTCATTTTTGAAATCAACACACCAAGATGGCAATATTCTTTCTTGCAAAAGCAATTGATACTGTTGTAATTGCATAGATAATAATTTTTCGACTAGAATATAATAGACAAGATCGATATAAGGCTAATTAAATTTGTACAAATAGTCTCTTTTTAGAATATGCCAATGAGACTCGATAATCATAGTTGTATGAATTATTAAAATATCTTGTGAGACAAATAATGCCCAAAGTGACCACCTATTCTAACAATACCATTCATTTCACAAGTATGGCCACACATGTAATAAATTTTTTTGGCGACAGTAGTTGAACATTTCACAAACAGACCGTGTCCATATTTTTTGAGATGATGTAACAAACTCTTTATCCGCAGTAGGTATCAACATATGTCAGTGAAAATGAGTTTCTATAAAATTTAGCACATCTTTTCTTAATTCAGCTTTAAGAAAAACCTTATTGTATAAAACAGTATCCATGTGTTGATCATTCCACATAGGGTTAATTACAGAATATTTATTATATACCTTATTAGCATCATAACAAATATTATTTTCTTTTTTAGTTGAAGAAAGCCTTTGCTCTATAGCATGTTTAACGTGCTATTTATATAGTTGTACTCTTACATCTTTTCAAATAGCTTGCACACTAGAGATTTGTAAAAAATCTTTATCAGACAATAATAATTTTATATTGTTAATATTCATATTTGAAATGGTATTAAACTATTTTGTTAAGATCATACATATATCACGATTCTTGCTGCTTGAAATATATAAGTAGCTTATTGGAAAGCCTGTACTATTGAGAACTGCTAAAATTGAATAAAGCTCATATTTAAGCTTAGTCGTATTATAGGTGGCATTGACAAGTAAAGTTTCAAAGACTATTTTAGGCAATTCAGCAATAAATAGTATTATAAAGACAAAAACTCCCACTGAAACATTTATTTCAAAAATAATTTTGTAATTTTTTTTATTTAATAACAATTTGGCTGATTGAAATTGATTATTCGCTCTTTGATATTTCGTAACAGCATGATGTGCCCACCAATAATATGCTTGATCAACCATAATTAATTCATAGCCATTTATTTTCTCAAGAACAATTTGTTTATATAATTTAGATGCAGAATATACTAAATTTTTTTTAATATATCTTTTAATTTTATCAGTAACGCCTATGTGTTGTAGTTGTAGATGCAAGTAAACATGATCCAATTTTACAGAGGCTAATTTATTTTGTAAATCGATCCTAACAAGAATAGCACCTTTGCAGTCATAATGATCTAATCGTAACTCTGTATTATATTGTTTAGAATTATCTAAAACCTTTTTGCTTTTTTTTCAAGCTCTTGACAGCAATTGCACCAATAAGTGAACGTTGTATTTTTTGTTTGCTTAATATAATGCTTCTTATGATAAATATAAGAATATCCATCACCTTTCTCACAGAGCCTTACAATCTTATTCGCTATTAAGCTTGCATGTGATTTATCATTATTTTCTAATTTATCAATTTGATTTGAAAGATTTATGATTGCATTAAGATCCATTCGTGTATTCTCTTCTTCTATATTATCCGTGAGTTTTTTATAAACTACATCTTCAATATCTTCAGGTTCTATAGCACTTTCTTGCTTTTCAAGAATATTATTCATATTCTGCTCTTGGCGTTTCTGTTTTTTGCCTTTATTTATATGGATTAAACATTCAATACATGTTTCTTTATTTGTTTCAAATTTATTAATTTGTTTAATTATTCGGCAGGATAAACATTTTTTTGAATTCGATTGGGTTGAATAATCGGATTTCATTAATTAGATTTTATGAGATATTTGGTAAGAAAAATTTTTAATTGATACTTGTTATTAAGTTACAATATAAATAAACATCGTTATTATAACTTATTATTAACAATAATCTATACTTTGCATCATTAAAATTTTGGTAGATAATTAATTTCAACTCCATATGTAATTGATTGTGGTAGTTATGCTAGGTTCGTGCTAGGATGAAGAGGAGCAGAGTAGAAGACCTTTTCTTACTTTACTAACTTGAGATGATTTTCGGTTCTCGCTCTTGTAATATTGATGTATTTGGCCTATTGCCATCCCCGTAGAAATTTTAATTAAAAGTCTAATCATTAACTTTAACAAATATTAATCAGAAATCAAATCATTAAAAAATTTTTAAAAAAATAATAAACAAGGCTCCACTAAAGCCATCTAATTAATAACTTATTGTATTAAAATATAAAAACATAAAAGAATTTATACGCCTAAACAAATGGCTATAAAAATGATACTAAAAGAAAATTAGCTTTTATGACAACTACAAGAATGGGTTATCGAATAATGAACCAACAAAAGACAAGAATATCAAAAAAGAGCATATATTTGTTCACGTATATATTAATTATTTACATTTAACAATAAAGCAGTTACATCCTGTATAGTTGGATACATACAAGCGAAAATTTATTGGTAGTATAACTGATGCATTGGCAGTGTAAGCGGCCGTACGGTAGTTATACTTTATCAATAAATTTCTGCTTATACTTAACTGCCCAGAATATAATTATTATATATATCAAAAAAAGTAAATTTTATTTTATATTGGGGATGGTAAAAAAACTATTTAAAATATTTTTTCATCTGTTTAAAACATGTGTTGATTAAAGTCCAAATATTGATTTAAATAATACATACCTGTTTTTTAATTTATCTTCACATGTTTTTAATTATATAAAAAAAAAATTTGCCATCTCTACGTATTATATGTTCTATTAGCAGAACCCAATACTGCAGATTTTTGATAATATTCGAATGTCTCATTACAATATCCAACACTATATGTTCCATCAGTAAAACTCATTTCTGCTGATTTGTGATAATAATTAAATACCACATGTTCAACCTTTTCAACTCCAATTTCTTTTTTTATAATTGTCTCCAACTTT